ACAAAACAGCCCTTTGAGCTAATCCACTCGGACCTTTGCGGTCCAATTAATCCACCATCGCATTCTGGGAAGCGTTACTTCATAGTCTATATTGATGACTATTCGCGTACCGCTTTCACATACTTCCTGCAAACTAAGACAGCTACAGAGATCGTCTCTGTCTTTCAAGAGTTTCTGTCTCGAGTTGAAGCCATGCTTCCTACTGTTAAGTTTTCTCGCTTTCGTTGCGATAATGCTAGAGGAGAATACGATAATAGCTTAATGAGAGGAATCTTAAGAGTGTCTGGAATTAGCTTTGAGCCCTCACCTCCATATAGTCAGCACAAGAATGGAGTCAGCGAACGTATGATACGAACATTGACTACCAAGGCGCGATCAATGCTTCTTGACTCAAGACTTGAAATGGAGTTTTGGGCAGAGGCTATTAGTACTGCCGCTTACCTCCACGCACGATCACCATCACAAGCCTTAAATGGCATGACTCCTTTTGAGATATTATGGAAGAAAAAGCCAGTTCTTGACCACCTTCGCCGGTTTGGGTGTGCAGCCTACCGTCTCATTCCGAAAGACCAGAGAGTAGGAAAATTTAGCTCTAAGTCCCGTGAATGTATTATGATTGGCTATGTCCACAGTTCAACCACAATTTGGAAACTATGGGACAGAAGCCGTAAATCTTTAGTTCACTCCTCTGATGTTGTCTTTCATGAGTCTACAGTCCTAGGTACACAGGTTACCAATAATGCTGAAACTGATATGCGGTCTCAGCTATTTTCTTCATGCTTCCCAGATGCTACGATATCTGATGCCCCCAACAGTGATGTTGATGGAGATGTTTCCTATGAGCTAGTACCTGTTCCAGTCAAGGAACACTCTGAAAGCACTTCGTCTACAAGTCTAAGTACTTCAAAAGATGATCTTGAGTCTGAGGCACATGGGAATGTTATTCAAGCCAGGTTGCCCTCACCTACGGCAGCAAAGCGACAAAGCTTACGCCGATCACTTCGCAACCGCATTGTTCACCCTACGGTACAAGTTACCGCTGCGGAGCATGTTGAAGTTGTTCGTGAACCGCTTAACTACCGAGAGGCTCTGGAACACCCTCATAGTAAGCATTGGAGGTCCGCTATGATTGCCGAGTTTTCTTCTCTAGTGGAAAATGGAACCTGGAAATACATTGATCAATCTATTGTTCCAACAAATAAGTCTATTTTAGGCTGCCGATGGGTTTACAAATTGAAAGTAAACCCCGATCGCACTATGAGATACAAGGCACGTCTTGTCATTAAAGGCTACCAACAGATAGAAGGAGTTGATTTTGAGCATACCTTTGCTCCAGTAGCTAAGTTGGTTAGCTTCCGCCTAATGATTGCAATTGCTGCCTACTACAATTGGCCAATTGAGCAAATGGATGTTGTAACAGCATTCCTTAATCCTCCTGTCACTGAAGAACTATATATGGAAATGCCAGAAGGAGTTCAATGGCTAAACCCTGCATGTTCTAAAGTACCTGCCTCACAAAATCAAGTGTGTAAGCTGCAGAAAACCTTATATGGTTTGAAACAAGCACCGCGGCTATGGTATCAAGATATTGATCTGTTTCTTCACTCGCAATCTATGGTTCACTCTACCTCTGATACGAATCTATACTACTCTCCAACTACGAAGCTCCTCATCCTTCTTTACGTTGATGACTTACTTCTTATGGCTCCAAGTCAAGAGACCATTGATCAAATGAAGAATAAGTTAAAAAGCCACTACCAAATGTCAGACCTTGGACCAGTAAAGCGATACATTGGAATTGAAATTGAACGCCGGGAGGACTGCATTGTTATTCACCAACAATCCTTTATTCAGGACTTGCTTAAGAAAAATGGAATGGAGCACTGTAAGGGAGTTTCCACTCCTTTGGATAAGAATACTTGCCTACTTCGATCCCAATATTCACATAGTACCTCTGGAGCCTGTTCTGCAAGTGATGCTATGGGAAAGCTATCCTTATCTACAGCTGAATACCAGTCCCTTGTAGGATCGCTGCAGTGGTTAATGATGGCCACTCGACCAGATCTTGCCTACACTGCCTCAACATTAGGACAATTTAATTCACAGCCTACTATGGAGTCTGTTCAAGCAGTGAAGCGAGTTTTAAGATATTTACAGTCAACAAGCATCTATGCACTTTATTTTCCAACGCAACAATCCTACCAACAGCACCGACCTTCTGAACAGGATCTTACTAGTCTATCAGATGAACCTCTTATTGAATGGCCAATTGGGTATACTGATTCCGACTGGGCTGGAGATAAGGTTGACCGCAAGTCAACACATGGTTATGTCTTCACACTTTTCTCTACAGCGGTATCCTGGAAGTCACAAAAATCCTCAACAGTGGCTCTATCAACTACAGAAGCAGAATACATAGGTTCCTGTGAAGCTTCTAAAGAAGGAATCTGGATTACAAGACTTTTTAGCGAAATCTCACCAAATCGAAAACAACCCCAGTCCTTACCCCATCCTTGCCTAATATATGGGGACAACCAAGGAGCGATTGCCTTGATTGAAAACCCACGCTTTCATCAACGCACAAAGCATATTGATATAAGATATCACTTTATCCGACAGGCCTATCAAGAAAAACTTATTCGCCTACATTATATACCGACAACACTCATGACCGCCGACATCTTTACAAAGGCTCTTCCCCAGGAACTGCATTACAAACATATGGTGGGTATGGGATTAAGAAAGCTCTAGGTATCTTTTCGTTTATCATAATCCTGTAGTTTAACTTATTGGTCATGTATATGGAGCACTCTTTTCCCCAAGTTTTTCCTCACAGAGGTTTTTATGGGTTTTTAACGAGGCTGCCATTCTTTGTTCTTTTCCTTTTCCTTTTTGTTTAACTTTGTTTATTTTGACATATTGAAAGAGGGGGAGTGTTGAAATTGGGCTTTCAGATATGTCCTTGCTACGTCTTAGAGTATGACATTGCTGGTCATTCTCCCTTAGTATCGGCTTGCTGGTAGTTCCTGAGTTTGACTTATCCCACTTGGGTTTTTCCTTATATCATCATTACTCAATCTGTCCTGCAGATATGAAACGGTGTTCTCATCTACTTCTCTTGCCTTCTATGTTGTTTTCTTTTCTTCTTCTCCGCTGCTGATATATGTTGCTGCTTTACAGCATAAATAGTGGGTCCTCTCCCGGACCTGGTGTAGAATTCTCTTTTGACAATAACAATCTGAACTTCTCGCTCTCATCTGTCTTCGGTATATGCCTTGATCGTTGCACCTATTTTCAACAGGGCCACCTGCCAAGTCACCGAGTGAGGACTGATGAGTTGCCCCCCACAGCTTCCTATGAGGGGGCTATCAATCACAACCACCGCAACCATGCGGAAAGACCGACCCTTAGATATTATCCGGAAGGTATCCCCGTGAGTAATGCCTCAAGGAATTTCGATATTCTCTGCACTCCCCCCTCCCCAGCCCTGTCTTCTGTCCCATCCCCGTCCTCCACGCCCCAGCCCATTCCGAACTAGAGGGGCTATGATAGAAGTGGAACTTTGCACATCATCCGATGCCTCCAAATTTAGATAGACCTCTAACCGACCCCCTAGGACACGGTTACGGGGTTTGGGGAAGTATCGTCAAGGACATAATCAGGGGACCAGTTGGTTAATTAATACTTACCCACCATTCCCTCAGAACTCTGATGTATTGAGACATTGTTTGTGCAGACAAAAGAGATCGTGATTTAGGAATGGTAATAACAAAGCCGAGTGATCTCTGGACCATCGCTCGCAAGAAGTAAGAGATTTCAGCCCTCTCTGGATTAGTCGGGGCGCTCAAAGAAACCAACTCACATGGATCGGCAAACCTGTCACCCCCCTCTCTCCCTTCGTACAGGTTTCCCAGTAGAATTTGGGAGGGCTTTCTCTCTCTCCACTCTTTAGCGAGGGCTGGCCAGGCACCGCGAGTGGTTTATTGAAATTAGGACTACAGATATATGCAATCCTATCATACCACGATATCATATTATTATGATACGAATAAAGAATTGGTGAATACTATCATAGTACGGTACACAACCCTCGAAAACATTAGTGTCAACTACGCGCACAATATCCGGGGTTCCCACTCGGTACGGTTCGGCCCCTTCAAACCAGAGCCCGCAGGGCTAGAACCAGGCACTAACTCCCGCTCGAGGCCCACACAAACTGCTAGAGTGGACCACTACGACCCGCTTGAGTTCCTATCATAACGTGCTTGGCTTCAGCACCCAGCGAGTACATTCAGCAGCCTATCATAATAGGTTTTATATAACGGGCACTCAATGGAATAATATCCAAGGACTTTTTGAGGACGAAGCGTTCGGGGGTGAAGTTGTGACAGTAGGAATGATTATCCCTTGCGAGCTAGCTAGAAGTGGATAAGTATGTGCTCTCTAGAGTTATTCATAATCGCCGGCGGACGAGCAGAGCCTAACATCCATATCCATGTGCATCCCTCCAGACAGGGGACCAGATCTCGAAACCAGAAGAAACGCGAGTGAGAAACTGTGATCACTCTTGGGCTGACCCAAACGCACTAGGGTAGTGAAAGGTAACAACCGAATTTCCAGATACCATTGGTAAACAATAGGTGCCCAAATCACGACACAACATTCTAATCCCTCTGCCATGCTGACCGCCATTCCATAAACGCGCAGAGTATCATCTAGCTCCTCAATCTCCGATCCACTCCGCTCTCCATCTAGCGCCGGTATACTGCTCGCTTCCGCCTGTGTCTTTCACCCCTCGCCAGCCAGAAGAATTCCTAAGAGCAAAATTTAAAAATAAAATAAAAAAACAGCCTCCCCCAGACAAGCCCACTCCAATCACAACTCTATTGAACACGTGGGCAGGTGCCGTCACCGCAAGCGTCAAACTAAAGCAAGAAAATTTTTATGTACGATGGTGAAAAAACCCTGCTTGCAAAAGAAATAATAGTACACAAGCCCAGCTACTGGGCTGGTAATGACGGAGGGCTGCCGAAAGATTCCTCGCTGAGGTTCAGAAACTCCGGCGATGATAGTTTTATAGACGAAGGTCCGCGGACCAATGGCCTTCGACACAAAAGCTTATCGCCGGTGGTGTATCAAGAGGGCGAAAGCGCTCTATTAAATCCCCCAGGCCGATTCCTATACCAAAGTTAGCGCTAAACTCAAAAACCAACAAAAAAAAACATAAAATTAAAAAGGGGCAAACAAAGCATACATGTACTGCCGATACTTTGTCGGCTTATTCTTATACACGCCCCCAACATCATTCCCGCGAACCTTCTTCTGTTTGGTGGTCCCGAAGCCACCGAATCCCATCAAAGCTTGCATCTGCGCCTCCTCGTCATCCACGACCCCTTCCATCTCGTCGCCGTCCCCACCCGCTGCCACCACCGCCGGGGCAGTAGCATCCCCGTCTGCACTGGCACTCCTCTCAGCACTACGCCCCGAGGTTGCCGGGGCGGTGCGTTCGGAGTCTTTAGTATCCAGCTTTGTGGTGGCGGTAGCAGGGGGGGGGGAACGCGAGCGGGTGCGATCCCGAATTGGTAAAGAGCGTTTGCCGCGCGGGGAACGGCTTCGACGGCGGCGTTCGGGAGAGCGGACTCTCCTGTCGTTATCCCGAGGTCGGCCGCCGCGGCCTCTGTCTCCGCCTCTATCTCTGTCTCTATCCCTCTCCCTATCTCTGTCTCTGTCCCGGCGGTAGTCGCCTGTAAGTTGTCAGCGAGGAGGTGAGCGTGGGGAAGGCGGGTAGCAGTAATAGTACCTCTATCGGGGCTTCGACTCCTTCTCCTTGCGGTGTATCGTCGGTCAGGACTTCTAGTGCGGCTACGCTTTCGGTAGTCTCTCCCGTAACGGTCTTCGCGGTCGCGGTCTCTGTCCCAGCCACGACGACTGCCGCCGCGGGGAGCTCGTAGTGGTGAGCGGTCCATGTGTGGGTGGTGGGGTAGGAGAAGGAGGTGGAGACGTTTCGAGAAGCAGTGATGTGGACGGTAGTGGCTGATTAGCTTTGACTGGAGGATTCCTGGGTTTGGAGTGGTTGCCGGTATGTACTAGCTGACTTTTAAAGTATCCGGACGCCTTGGCACCCAGCGGCGCTGTCTTGGCGCCAAGGTGTCCGGATACTTTTGAAATAGGCTGGTAAGTACGCATTCCCCGGTAGACGACTCACTAGGTGACGCAAAAACTGTGCCGGGAGAGAAAATTGGCTTGGCAGGTGGTGCTAGACTTTCTGGTGTCAGGGAACCAGGTTTTTGGGATCTGGAACCCGGAACTGTTATGGTGGCTTTTACTGGTATCGTATCACCAGAGTGAACCCGTGGAAGATGATACTAACGGCGAAACCTCAGATTCTATCCACAGTTAGGCGATTGCAAAGCTTCACTATTTGATTCGCAGAGCATTTCCAAACCCAGAACGACAGTTTGATGAGGCATTCTAAATCTCTAGGACACTCAGTTCAAGAACTAAGAGCATTACGCTCGGCACTGGCATCATCGTACCTTACAGGTATCATACTGTGCCCATGGAACCAGAATGAGTGATCTTTTGTGAATGTCTTTCCGCCCATCTGAATAATCGCAAGGAGGGACCTTTGCCAACACCGACACACCGAAATACAAACAATGCCGGAGCAACCTCACTGCTTATGTGCATAACACCGGCAGGATAGCGACAAGTACGGAAATCCCGTAATCGTAATAAACCCCCGGTATCCATGCGGCTCTTATTACGGTATTCTACCCTAACCAAATCAGATGAAATGAAAAAGCCAGAAGTCTATGAAGGAGCCACTACCGACTAATCCCTACTCGTACTGTACTCTTTTCTGTGTGGGGGGGGGGGAAAAAAGAGGAAAAACATGTGATATATACGCTCAAAGGCAGCTTGTCGGCCCAAAAGAAGCCAAGAAACGAGAAGAAAGAGAGTAAAGAAGGGAGGAAGTAGGAGGACAATTGGCAAGGCATTTTACCTCCCGAAGCGCATCTCCGTTTTTGCGAATCTATGTAATGCTCTAAGGAAGACTTGGTAGCCAACTCCTGAGTTGTCTTGCACATGGCTTTGCAGGCATGTTAACTGTCAAGTTTCTTTGTCCAAGAGTGGAAAAAACTTACAATATCTCTGTTAACCGTATCTGCCATGGAGGGTAGCCCCTTAAAACAACTGAGGGCGAGAACAAAATCAACAAGTCAGGCTCGGAAATAGTATTTTCTAGAGCTCATAAGTACTTGTCACACCGCCCATCACACGTTCGCGGAACAAACATACCAGTAACTTCGGCATCAATCAATTCAACGCTAACATCCTCTGAAGATATTTTCCCCCTCTGGGCCATATCGCACAAAGTCTTGGTCAAATCAACCAGCGACTCCCTACCATCCTCTTCGGAGATAAGGATAACTTCGAGGCCAACCTCTCTACCCTCCTGGCCAGGGTCATGGAGAGAGGACAACGGAGGCGCATGTACTCGAAGCCTCGGCCGGGACTTCCCGAAATAGCTATGGAGCCTCTGAGAGATCGAACGGTGGGATGTAGAGATGTAGGATTTGAGAATTCCTACACAGTACTGTAAGCCATATACACGTGCAATCATAACTAGCGAATGCACCAGTCTGTTCATAAACACTCAGGGTTCTGATCCCGGCGCTTGCACACCAACAACTGATCTCGGAGACCTCATCAATAAGCGTATCCAGTCCTCCCCTTTCATACTCCAGAACGACGCTAACATGCTCCGGCAGTTTTCCCCGTTCCTCCAATTCCTTCACGTCTTTCCGTATCAACTGTGGCGTTCGGTGATGGTAATAAAGAATAGAGAGCCCGCGGTTGAGAATGTTGTGGTAGGCCCACCGGAGCTTCAGGTATATGCTGAAAAGTAGATGGATGGTAAGAAGAATAAACTTGTAGAAACGTGTTGCGAGAAAGTTACGGATCGGCTTTTCTCTCGGGTCGGCGGCTGGGAGACGAGCGAGAAGTACCCGCTCTCGCTCAAGAACTTCCGGGGGCTTCTGCTGGCGCGACCGGAGAGCGGACTTTAGAGGTCTCGGCGGATAAGCGGACGAAGAGGAGGAAGAGTAGGGAGGCGGAGGAGCTACATTAGCCATGATGACAACAAAAAGAAAGATACAACGGGAGAGTAGGGGGAGAGAGATGAAGTGGCCAACGCAGGGAATGGGAGAAAGAGGAGTGAATTCACGGATATCAGAAGAAGGAGAGAAATGAGGTGGGAGAGAGAGTGTGTGAGAGAGGGCTTCTGGTGAGCTGTCGGCGTGGGCCTAGGAAGCGAAGGAAGACGAGACGACGGGTGACGCACGTCGCACCAACGCGGAACGGAAAAAAATGAGCCGATCCGAGGGAGACTGGGTGAAGTGAAATGGTGCGGATTACCGTTACGAGTACTCGAGATACAGCACTGTCTCCCAGCTCTCTCACCCCTTCTCTTAGGTTGCCCTCCTACGGCATGACATGCCCCTCCTGTACCGCTATTCTGCTGTGCTCGAGTAGGGTGAACTTATCGCTACATTCCTACATTATGATAAAGTGGCTGGGGAAGAGGTGCAGTGCTCGTACAGAACCGTTGAGAAAAAAAAAGGTAATCAAAAGAGCCGCATATGCAGCTCCTTATCATCTCGTTCATGCATAAGTCATTGGGGCTGCCTTATCGCAGAACCTATTCACACCTGGCACTCGAGCGCTGGCGCCGGAACTTGCTTGAACCTCCCGATCAGCCGGGTGAACCTTGCTTGCTTGATGTCCGCGTCGCCCTGTGGCCATGGTCTGATCATCGCACGGATCTGTTCCGGTGGCCATGGGGCGGTGTATCATTTCTGGCCATTGCGTTCCTCACACCGTGAGGAGGTACCACCAAGCCGAATGCGTCCAACATTCCTATAATACTGAAAAGCCATCCGTCAGCCCGAGTTTAACTGAATCGATAGAAGTCCACTTTGCACTCGCCTTACTCACCGAGCTTGAAGAATGCTGGGGGGAAGGGATATCATACCGGTATTGGTGGTGGGGAAATGTTATTCATGTTTCAAATCCAATCACCAGCTCATACTCGGGCCTTTGAACCGCCTCTTGGAGCCGCCGGCGCGGTACCGGTATTTGGGAGGTTAGACGGGCCATTTGATGTGGATACCTCTATGCACCCCACCAGCTACCAAGTATCGTATCCAGCTCACAACTGTCACAATGCTTGCTCCAACTCGGCGTATAAGAAACGCCAGCACTGCCTTGAGGGAGCCCGTCATCCTCAAGCAATTGCCTAACAAACCAATCGGACAAATACGCCCCCATGGCCACTATCGTAACCATCCTCGTCCGACTGATTCATCTCCTCAATTCGGCGATGCTCTGATCTACGGCTCTGGTCCTGAAGACTTCTGCGATCCTCCAACTACAATGACAGCCACTGCTCCCGGTCCCACCATCGTAGGAGGAGCCCAACGAGAACCCGTCACCTCAACGGTAACCCTCACGGCAAACGGTGTTGACACCCGTCTTTTCGACGGAATATTCGGCCCAATCGATATTAGCCAGAGCGTTAACCCGGAGAGAGTCATTGCAGTAACCATGGAAACCAGCACTGTTGCGCTTTCCGGGAGCACTGAGACGGTGACTGTGCGAGCCACGGGCTCCGAGGTCACGGTTACCGAGGAGACAAGTGAGGTTACAGTCACGGTTTTGGCACAGAATGCTGGAGGTGTTTCGGGCACAATTGCAACCTATTCGACATCTGCTATTGCTGTGAGGGGTGCGGTGAATGCTGGAGAATCTGTGCTAACACTTGGTTGGAAAAAAGAAGACGAAGCCACCAAATCCGGGGGAGAACATTCTGCAGAGACTTCTACCGGTATTCCATCTATCCCTTCGCACAGAAGCTTCATCCACCTAGGCGGCATGAGAGCGCAAGCCCAAAAATCAACCGCAGAGCCCCAGCCCCTGGAAGAGGCACTGGTGCCACCAGCTCTCTTGCCCCAAGCAATAACCTAACATATCATAATGCCTCTACTTCAGCCGGAGAACCTACTCCCGTCCCAGCTCCCATCGCCGCGACACCCACGGAAACAGACTCCCCTAGCACGACTTCCACCACGGGTAGCAGCGCCAAGGATTTCTCGAGAGTAGGTAGTTCTGCGCCGGCTGAGCCCTCTACCAACGCATTCGGCGAGGATGTAGAAGACCCCAACTCTCACGAGGATATCGCTGCCCTCGCTGCGGAATTACGAATTGAGCGAGTGCATCATTCCGGTGGGTTTGTTCCCGATTACGCTCCCAAGAAGACTGCGACGTTAGCCCCTCCGGCAACAGCTACGGCGAGTAGGTAGTAAACAAGGGAACCCGGGGAGGGGGGGGAAGAAGGGTGGGGGGGGGGATGATGATACTGGGGGAGAGGTTGAGGAGGGAGGGGAGAAGGGAGGGTTGGCGTGGAAAGCTATTAGTCAGATCACTATTGTTTCGGGGGCTGTTGCGATTATAATGGGGTTCCTATTCTTCTTGTATAGAGTTATTTGTGGGAAGGATGATAGGTATCGGGTTTGATGCCTGTGCTTCGCTATACTTGTTACTTGTGCAGAGGTCGTTATTTTAGGGAGTGTTAGGTTATAGCCTTTTAGTTCTGTGACGGGAATTGGAAATTTGGACCCAATATACTTCCCGGTCATTTGAAGCTCCTCTGTATTTTGTTTAGAATTATTTAGAAAGTGGCACGACCAGATCTTAAGGTCAGTGGTGAACTTGGCTAAGCTAGCCGAGTGATCGTACATGAGCCTTAAGGTGGGTAGATCGCCGTTACCTAATCTGAACGAGAGTGACTGTCAACCGCTAAGTCTTCCGCACACACAATCGATGAGGACCTGTAAAATTCACCCGTCCAACATTCTCCAGACTCACTATACAAACACTCCCCAACATTCCACAAATTCCCCACCAACGATTAATTCGCTTGGAAGACTGATTCAACATGTCCAAAATCACAGTCGGTTTGTCAGCCTTCTCGTCACAATTAAGTTATTGATCAAAGTCGCTAAATTGCCACATTTTGCAGCCGGAGTGCGTGGAAACGTAAAGGAGCTATTGGAATACTCCACAAATGAGAAGAAGAGGAACTTCCTCGAGACCGTTGAGCTCCAAATTGGACTCAAGAACTATGACCCCATGCGTGACAAGCGTTTCTCCGGAACTGTCAAGTTGCCTCAGATTCCCCGACCAAACATGTCCATCTGGTGAAGATCCAATTCCTCCATTGATTGTCCCTTGAATTATTATTTTTATGGCGAAAACAACGAAAGGGGGGAAAAAAAAAGAAGGTTAAGAGCAACAAACTGATTCTTGGTGAATGGCGATTTAGTATCCTTGGAGACCAGCACGACATCGATCGTGCGAAGCACCACAACTTCGAGTCCATGTCTGTCGACGACCTGAAGAAGCTTAACAAGAACAAGAAGCTCATCAAGAAGCTCGCCCGCAAGTATGACGCCTTCGTCGCCTCCGAGCAGCTCATCAAGCAGATCCCTCGTCTCCTCGGCCCCGGTTTGTCCAAGGCTGGAAAGTTCCCCACTCCTATATCCCACGCCGAAGATTTGGCCCAGAAGGTCAACGACGTCAAGTGCACCATCAAGTTCCAACTCAAGAAGGTTCTCTGCTTGGGTGTTGCCGTTGGAAATGTCGGCATGACTGAGGACCACTTGATCGGAAATATCATGCTTGCTATCAACTACTTAGTTTCGCTGTTAAAGAAGGGCTGGCAGAACGTTGGGTCCTTGACTATCGTATGTAGCTCTGTTACTGGGCGGTTCTGGTAGTGGGTTGCTAATTCTTCTACAGAAAGCCTCGATGTCACCTCCCAAGCGTTTGTACTAAACGCTTTTTCCTTCTATGTTCGCAGACTTATGGATGAAAAATAAGGATTGGGGTTTCAATTTCTTTTATTCGGAATTCATGTAGCTGTTGCGATAGGGACAAAAAGGTTTATGCAAATATTTCGTGATACCCTGGAAGTTGGTACCACCATGAGATCTGCCTAGCTACCGCATACTCGTAAAATGGCTCCCCTCTTTCCTGAGCTCTAGAGTCTTTGCCCGGGAATGAACGGGGAGACGGTCCCCGGGGGTCGTTGAATCAAGATTTGAGCCTTCTATGCAGTTTACGTAGTGATGCCAGGGTCCCGGTGAGGTGGTATGGTGAGGCGGGGTCGGGGGAGCGGTTGTGAAGCATGGCACAAAGGGACAATTAAACACTTGAATCAGAACCTCTACCGACCCCGTAGGTTGAGCCATTAATTTTTTTTTAAGTACAGTACCATATCACTGGTCACAGCATACAAGACCTCGCATTGTGGCCTGCCGTCACTGGCCATAGCAAAACTACAGCGTCGAAGGAGCCCACATTTATTATTCCCCGAGACCTGCAGAACATACACAATCAACGAAGAATAAAAACCAATCGGCCCCTCGATGTGTTACTTCCAACCATTACGCCAGCTAAGCAAATGCCACAAGCAACAATCCCATTTCTAAACCATAGTACCTCTCTCAAAGCTGTCTCTAATCTCCCCAGTATACTAAACCTGCACATCAGCATCCGTCCATACATTCTGGGGGGTTGAATAAGTGGGATATTAGCGGAACATACCTTATTATAATACCTCGCCAACTTCTGGTTGAACTGCTTATTCTTATCATTGATGTAGGTGACGTCCTCCTCATCACCGCCCTTGCGCCTGCGCATGCGGGCGTCTTCGGCTTTCTTAAGGTCGCCGACTAACCTATCGATGGCGCCTTTACTGGGCTTGTTGTCGATGAAGCCGAGGGAGTTGGCGTCAGCGTAGAACTCCCCGTCGCGGTCCACAGCGATCAATTCTCCATCCTCCGTCTCGACGATGGTCCCATCGCGGATCAATTTTGCCTTCTCGGCGGCGTAGGATTCGAGATCGGGTTGTAATTCACGGAGCTGCTTTTTGTAGATTTTGCGGGCGGTTTGGGTGTAGTCTGCTCATCACCATCATCACGTTAGCTAGCCCTCCATGCGCCCATTGTTATTCTATATTAGGTGGCTGTGTGGCAAACCTTGGAAAGCAACATCCTCAACATGCTTCTTTTTCTTCTCCATGCGTTTATCCCAGCGTTCGCTCTCTTCAACAGTCCAGTCCCACGCTCTCTTTCGCTCAAAGTCCTCTCCATCGTCTTCTGCGTCGGCCTTAGCAAGTTTGAATTCCGCCTCATCGCGCTTGCGGTTTAGTCGGGTGGTTTCTGAGGGATCCACGGCCTGACGGCGGCGCTCGGCGTAGACTTCTTTGCGATTTACCTCGGCGGATTTTTTCTACAGGGGAGTTGGTTAGAAGGGATATAGAGCGCGTGGGGGGGATGGTAATTACAGCACGGCCTTTTAGAGTTTTCCAGCGTTCGGCGCGCTCTTTGGCTTTTTGAGCGGCATCGGGAGAGTCTGGGGCTGCTGCGTCTGAAGCGTCGGCGGATTCGGACTCTGAGAATTTGGAGTGACAGGGAGCAGTCGATCCTGATGACATTTCGGTGGGCGGGTCCTTCCTCTTGGGCATTTGTGGGGTGGTTGCGTGCGGTACAGTAGTTGTGATCTTGTTTGTAGATGTGGACAGCTGACTGAGATAAATGTGATGGTAAAACCTTTGTTGTTCAGTTCTTGGTCGATGCTGGCTGTACGGCAAGTTACGGTACGGTACGTGTGTTAGTGGGTTGCATTCATTTAACTCCTGAGCTCGCCGCCGCCAAGACAGACACGTGATGCCAGACAGGCAGCCTTTCAGGCTTCAGCGGCCCTTCAGGTTCGACTAATTTATACCTTCCGCCCACCATATATCCCGTTAGCTTCCTAGGAACCACCAACCAATTCCCACGATCACATCCACTTCCGGCCCACGCCCACAACTCATCATGGCATCAATGGTCCCCTCTAAGCGGCCCCCAGAAGAGGAGCCCTCAATCTCGTCCAAAAAGCCAAAGCAGGGAGTCGACCAAGAACGCATTCAAAAGATGCTAGCAGAAGCCCGCGCCCGTGCAGCAGCTGTCGCCGCAAAGCTAAATAGCAATGTCAGAATATCTGCTCCATCCTCCGCATCCCCAACGCCCCCGCCAGCACCGCCACCTCCAGCCGCACAATCCGCCGCTGACAGGATCGCCGCGATGAGGGCCCGTGTGTCCGGGGCCGTATCTAGATCCTCCGGACTTGCGGCGGGCGGGCCACCCAGGCCACCGCCGAGTGCACACAGGAGGGAAGAGCCGGACATGGAGGAGGTATCCAAGGCGCGTGGTGGACTGGATGTGGGACTTCATCCCGCGCTGCTGGGCGATGGTGGGGACGCTGGATCGGCAAAGCGCGGAAAGGGGGGGATTCCACCCAAGTTTGCAACTACCATGGCGAATCGGCGGGCAAAGGGGAAGACCGGGAAGAAACAGCTGGAGATTCAGGGTCCCTCGGCGGACATGACGGACCCCAGCAAGAACCCGTATTTTGATCCAAATCTTGCGTCAAAGGTCGTTGCGCCTCGGAGGATGAGCAAGGCTTTGGCATTCAATCAGAAGGGGAAATATATTGAGCAGGCGAATGCTCTGCGTAGACAAGCTGCTCTAGAGGCTATGAAGAAAAGGATTGCGGAGGCGGCTAGGAAGGTGGGGATTGATGAGGACATGCATGCAGATAAGGCATTTGCTGTGAGTTTTCCTACTCCTCATATATGTAAACTTGCTAATTCGCCACTACAGCGTGAACCACCCCCCGAAATCGAGTGGTGGGACCAAGGCCTCACAACTGCCTCCTCATACGAAGCAATAACCCCAGAAACCCTCCTAATCTCCGCCGCCGACACAATAGTAACCTACTACGTCCAACACCCAGTCCTCCTTGCCCCACCACAGGACCAACTCGCGCCGGCAATGAAGCCCTTCCCCCTGACCAAGAAAGAACAAAAGAAAGTCCGCCGTCAACGCCGCGCTGAAGCCCTGAAAGAAAAGCAAGCGAAAGTCCGCCTCGGCCTAGAACCCCCACCGCCGCCAAAGATCAAGAAATCAAACTTAATGCGAGTCCTCGGCGAAGAAGCGGTGAAAGACCCCACAGCAGTAGAAGCGCGTGTGAACCGCGAAATCAAAGAACGCCATGAAGGTCACTTAAAAGCGAACGAAGAGCGCAAACTGACGAAAGAACAACGCCACGAACAGCTCGCCGCGAACCAGGAAAAGGATTTGGCCCGTGGTATCCACGTCCTCGTCTTCCGCATCGAGACATTAGCGAACGGGAGACATAGGTACAAAATCAACATCAACGCGGAACAACTGGCTTTGACGGGGATCTGCATCCTCAACCCGAAATTCAATCTCGTTATTGTGGAGGGCGGGATCCACTCCATCACAAAGTTCCGCAAACTGATGGTGAATAGGATCGATTGGAAGGAGGGCATCACCGCTAGAGAGGGGAGCAAAGGTGTCGAGGGCGATGCGGGGGCCGAGGAAGAAGGGCAGGCGGTCGACATGACAAAGAATATGTGCACGCTGGTCTGGGAGGGTGAGGTTCGGCAGAAGGGATTTAAAAGATTTACTACCGAGCGGGTGCCCAGTGACGCCCTGGCTCGGGAGCGGCTGGAGAGAGCTAGGATGGAGTATATGTGGACTCAGGCCAAGAATGCTGTTGCGAAGGAGGGTTAGGATGGAGCTTATATTTTCATTTTTTTTTTTTTTTTTCAGTTGAGGCGTTTTAATTTTTTTATTCCCTTGCTCTCGCTGCGCTCTTAGACTAGCTCATAAATTGCATTGGGAATTAAAAGTGCCATTGTAGATGAAGGAAGCTTGGTGGTTATCACTGTTCGGTGACTTGACATTGTCACATTGCACGAGTGATGTCCTGTGAGAACCTACCGCATAACCATGCGAACAATTGACCAAGGCACTCTGGAACTGGATATGATCTGAACGGAATAAAGCTTACTATTTTGGAAAAAGAATATTGACAAAAAGGACTTGCGTGATTTAAGGATAACACGGAGGTACAAGGAGCGAAACAAAAAACGCCCACCAGAAAAATTCAATAGGCAAATTAACTGTCTCCAAGCCATTTATTTTTTTTATCGTTCTCATGCGCCTAGTTTTTCGTCGGACGCCAAGTGCACTTTTCTAACCTTCCTGGCCCAACCGCTTCAACTCTCCTCCCACAAAATTCTCTGCACTAATCAACTCAGTGCTTCCATAGACTACCTTCCGCCTGGTGCCTCCTGCGCCGGTGGCGTCATTTACCCTTCTACTCCACTCCTGCAGATTACCATATTCCTCCATGTTGCCTCCACCAACCGTGAATACCACTGCCTCCGTAAATCCCTGCCTCCTCTGGCCAAAAGTAGGTCCTCCAGTGATTGGCCTACCGTCTGGCCCGAGTCGAGTAGACGGTCCTGTACGAGAGGTGGATGAACGGGGATCAAGATAAAGGTAGTTTTCAGTTTTGGCGAGTGCTGAGGTGGACGAAGATGTTGGATCCATCAGAGACTCAACAATCTTAGTGATCGTCAAGTCCTTGTTCACCGGAAGGAAATTTTTGACACCAGAAATCAGATTCTCAAAGCCACCGCCGAGCGCGCCGGCATCCTTGAGACGATCCGTCAATCTGTTGGAGATTGAACTAAACCCTTTGAAGAGATCGCCTCCGGCACTCTGGGCGGCAGGTTGAGAAGGTGCCGATGCCATCATTGTCATACGAGTGATTTCGCGGACTCTGGGGTTAGGGTTAGTTGATTTCGACTTGAAGGGAATGAATCGGTGTTTATACTTCTTGACGTAGGCTAGCGGTTCAAGGTCACATCCAGCTCCCTTCAAGGCTGCCTCATATTCTTGCATATCACCTCTAGTAACGTCGTTCTCCGTGCTCAAGTACCTAATATCCAGGTTAGATAACGACTATACAACGCCAAGAGATTTCTTATACCAGATAATGAACATCCTTAATTTGTCAACCGGGTTTTTTCTCTCCGGGTCGTTGATGACTTCTAGCAGTTGGGCCTTATTCTGCCTAGTGATAGCCTCCTCAATTTGGAAGAAGTTATCCAGCTGGCGCTCCTTGATGCCTTTAAGTAGGGCGGTAGCAATATTCATATGCATATCTAAGACAGACTTTCTATCGCGCAGATCTGGGAGTTGAGTAATGGCTGCTTTCAGATGTTGGGCGGAAGAGCTGATGTCACTACGGCTATTAGAGAGTTCCCAGAATTAGTGGGACATTGTGAGCCTTACTTTTGTAAATCTTCCAATGATGCAGCCCCGGTCTTCTTGGTGATTTCCGCAACATCTTCTTTATACCGAGTCAACTCTGCGTCGATGTCCTCTGCTACCTGTGGAAAAGGCACTCCTGCATTTTTGGCCCAAAAGAAATCGCTTGAAATCAGATCATAACTCTTTTTGCTAACCTTTCCACCTTCCTCAATTGTCTCGACGGTGATCCTGTTTAACCGCATGTTGAGCACGTCGTGTACAAGTGATTGATAGGTCCACGAATGTGAAAGCATGGGAATCAGGTCAATATTGCGGTCAAGGATAATCAAGACTGGACGGGACTGCGAGGTGCCAGTGACGCCAGCGCGGGTTGAGAAGAGATTGTTATCGCGAGAATTGAGGACATGATCCCGGAGTTTACGATCGAGCTTCTGGGCTATTATTTCGGCGGCGTTGCCTTTAGGCGCACGAATTATAGGAATAGATCCTGAATGTAGGAGTCAGTACTGCCGGGGTTTGTAAAGGCAGAAAGGGACTATACCCATAGTAACTGCTACTGAAAACAGACCACTGACGACTTTATCTATAGCTTGCTCAATAGCACTGTCGGCAGCCTGAGCCGAATTAAGTGTGTAATAAACATCATTCAAGTTCAAGCTAAACAGATCCGGTTCCGAAACTACAAAGTTCAAATACTGGTCGTAAACCTGGGCTATCTTCTCAGAGGTGTTATTCTGAGCAGTCAGTGCCGCAAAGTCCTCCAGGATAGTCCGCGGAACCGACGATAGGAAATTGACGTAGGCGATGTCATAGAGATTGTTAGTCAAATCGTTGGAAATAGCGGTAATGTTCTCAGCCGTCGGTTCGACAAAGTATACAACCGGCACATCCGGGATTGGGTGGCGCGATGAGAGCAGGTTGAGATGTATAGTCACACCAAAATTCCTAAGGTCTTGTACTCTAAGGACAGAAGATATGACGTCTCGGCCGAGGTTGTCAAAAACCAAAACCTTCCATATAGGTTCACCCTCATCGTTCAGGATGGGAGCAGACGAAGGAACTAGGCCGTTGATTTCGGGTTCGTGTTTCGCCTGTGCGTGATTGAAGTTAAGGATCTTTTCGATGGACGCTAAGAAGGGAGCAGAGATTAGCAGGACAAAACAAAGAGGTATAAGCTAAGCTGGCAGGAGAGTACACACCTACCGACTTGACGATCTCTCAGTGTTTGGCGTGCGGTAGCCATTTTGGACAAAGGTTTCCACGATAATTAATGTTTGAATTCGGACCCGATATGTAGAGGGCTGAGGCGAAAAAAAGAACGGAACCAAGAACGTGCTAAGAGAGTGAGTGACTGAAATGAGTCGAAAAGCTGGATGTTGGGCGAAGGATACCTGCCAGAGAAGACACCTGGAAGTTTGAGGGATGTAATGAGGAGATTATCGAGATAAGATCTTTAATAGGAGGGTAACCCCCCTCCGCCCTACAATTGACCTGCCGCAGCTCAAGTGCCCGCAACACCACCATCCGCTCACCATTGGATCCACCTTCATCTCTCTCACCCTTCGTCTTCAATATCTAGAACATCGAAATAATCATGGAATCGAGACCAACTGGTAATCTTAGTATAGGTATGCTGAAGCCTCCTATCCATTATGAGCTCTTGTTTATCGATTCTTCAGATGGCATTCATGTCGACATGGAGCACTTGAAGAAAGGCGAGGTCAAGTAAGTTCATCACCTAAATTCCGATAGGGATGGGACTAAAAAAACTAACATATCTCAGCTTGGGGACTTCCATGTAAGATGATCCTTTAGAGGTTATACCAACACCCCGCTTCGACTGATGGTTTGCAAACAGTATGGCAGCTCTCTTCGATGGTGGTGTTATCCTCGGTTCGTCTTCATTTCCCCTAACGATTTATCGGAGTACTCTCGGGATATTCCTAAGACTAATCATATCTTAGGCGCCGACTCCCGAACAACCACTGGTGCTTATATTGCCAATCGAGTGACGGATAAGCTAACTCAAGTTCATGATACTATATGGTGTTGTCGGTGAGCTCCGATTCTCCTACCTTCTAGTGCCTTACTAATTCTAAAAACTTAAATCCCAGATCTGGCTCTGCTGCTGATACCCAGGCCATTGCCGATATCGTCCACTACTACCTACAGTTGTATAAGTCTGTCTTTCCTTCTTGCCTAACCACGCACCTTTACCCAACCTAACCCCACATCCCTAGTGTTCAAAACCACGAACCCCCAACCACCCAAGTTGCAGCCTCAATCTTCCAAGAACTCTGTTACTCAAACAAAGACCAACTCTCGGCCGGTATGATCATCGCTGGCTATGATGCCCGCCGTAAAGGCGAAGTATACTCGATTCCCCTCGGAGGCTCGCTTCACAAGCAGCGTTATGCAATTGGTGGTTCCGGGTCGACCTACATTTACGGTTACTGCGACGCGAACTGGAAGGAAGACATGACAGAAGGAGAGTGCATTGAGTTCGTGAAGGGCGCTCTGGGCCAGGCTGTCAAGTGGGACGGAAGCTCTGGTGGTGTTATCCGCATGGTGGTGCTGACGGAGAGGGGCGCCGAGAGGAAGATTTTCTTCCCGGATGAGAATTACAAGGGGAGCGGACAATGATAGGTTTCAGATAGCTGGAAAGGAAAAAATACCCAGCTTTTATGAAGCTAAAGTTCCGTAGCAGATTTGTTCGGCTCATTCCTAGAACCCAAAGAGATTTCCCGGGGCAACTCTTGGGGCTTTGTGATATATTTATCACTAACACTATACCCCTCCAAGATCTTCCACAACTTACATCACACTCTCTCACTCGCACATTCCCACTCATGAACAGTAATACACAGCACTCCTAGTAACCAATCCGTGCACTATCTCCCCGGTGCAGTTCCCACCTTACCTTGCCATACCCCGCCCTATCCTGTCCTGCCCGGTCACTGTTGAGCTACAGGACAATTTGGCCCCTAACCTAGCATTCAACCGCACCCTCAGCCACAACACCTCATAGCTCGTTTTCACTTCGGCAGCGGTTCACTTCTCCCGGAATCCGAACCCGTGGGTTTTAAGTAAGGCTAATGGTGGGTTCAGGTTTTCGAGGATCAAGGTGTAGACAGCGCAAACTCACAACAAGAAGTTATCGATTCGGATGTCTTGGAATAGCATGTTTCCTACCTCTTTCGTAATGCACCCCAACTTAGGTAACTTAGATGTAGTAATATTGTGCGATCGCGATGAATAGGCACGTTTCTTGTCTACCGGAGGCGCTATAGTGTGAAGGAAAAAGAGACTTGTGATAAATATCTACCGCACTTGTGAGGGACCGACCAATGGTAATACTGTTAGGTGGTCTCTTCGAAAACCGGCGTTCCGATATGTGGGATAAGTCCGCATAGCACTGGTCCATTTATCCTTGTACTGGTGATGGATATTCCCTACAAGTCCGAACGCCAAAGGTAACCCAAGATTATCCCCACCGAAAAGTCATTCACCGCCCGATGGCCTCTTCGCCAGCTCATAAAAGTCCTCGTCGGGTATCCCACCACCCCTCTGGTCCTCCGGATGGGCGCAATGCCCTTTCACATCCTCGGGGACTCTCCAGCCCGCAACGATGTCTGGCCGAGTGAGAAATTGCATCAGCATTCCCGCTTCTGCGTGCCATGCAATATGACCTTAGGAAAGTTAGTTTGGTGGCCGAGCGATGCTCTAGAAGGAAACAGACAATGAAAAGCCCACATCCCAGGGTTATCCGCCACGAAGCGGATGAGGACCCAACCATAGGCTTCAATGGTGACAGTATCGCGGCGCAGGGGGTTTGTAGTATTTAGGGTAGCGTAAGTTGACTTGTCAAAGTATCCGCGCCCTTGCCCTAGGACCCAGAATTTGTAACCATGAAGGTGGAAGGGATGGTTTCTGGATGGCATAAGTATACACCCGAGCTAATTTCGGATGGCCAACTCACCCGTCGTCGAAATTATCAACTAGGAGATCGACTGTCTTAGTTCCATCAATTCTATAAACCATTTGCCTATTGATGTCATACGCCGAGAGAATGCCCTCGGAAGAGAACGATCTGTTAGCCCGCCAAAGCCCGTTAACGGCTTGCGCTAATGTGGGAACCTCTGCAGGGCGCCAGGATGTTTTATTGAAGAACCCTCTGCTCAGGCGGTATGCTCCGATTTCAAAGTTGCTTCGGAGGTAAATGAGCACATCCGGCTCCGGAGCGGACATAACAACCGCTGGGACAACCTCGGAGGTGTTGAGATCTTTACACTCTAGCTCCATTGCTTCCCCCCATCCCTTTGTGGTTGGTGCCTCCTCATTGGAAGTATATCGTATGATACCAAGTACCTCCGGCTTCAAATCCTCCGGGATCTCAGCGAAGCAATGAGCAATCATCCGGGCACGCAGCCAGTATGAATCGGCGGGCTGGTTTGCATAAAGGAGAACCGAGTACCGTTGGGCAACATTGATTCGGAACCTGTGCAGGCTATAGGGCTCCACCTCCACACCATCAACTTCGACGAGTGAGAGCTCGTGCTGGTCAATCTCCACGTCAAACTCAGCAAAGGCTCCAACATTGATGAATCTTAGACGGTGAATTTTGCCTTTGTCCAAAGCGAACGTAGCAAGCTTCCCCGAAGAGGGTTCGCAGGTGGAGCAGACGCCCATACCGTTTATCAGGGCACCATCCGGAACAGGCTCATCATTCTCATTGCCCGGGGCAAGGTACCACGGCAAAAGCGCAGCGGACAGATCGTGATAATAGTCATGAACCATAACCACCCTATCCGTATCACCCTGAATGTTCTCCCTCGGTGAATGGATTATAAATGGGCCAAATAACCCGTCTATCCTCGATGTTGAAAAGTGTGCATGATACCTAAGCACTATGGGCATTAACCGTGGAAGCCCCAATCCTTGGCGAGGGGTTCAAGACTTACCAGTATGTCCCCCACTGCTCCCGGACGGTAAACTCGTAACGGAAGGATTTGCCAGGCGGGATGGGACAGTTTGTAACGCCCGCAGTCCCATCCATCCAATTCGTTCCGTTCTGATATTGTCCATGCCAATGAAGCGATGTAGAGTTTGTGGCACCATTGTAAACATCCACCACAATGGTATCACCCTCATTGCATTCGACAAGCGGCCCCGGAAACTGGCCGTCGATAACAATAAGCGTACGCAGGATACCTGTGACTCGGTTAGAACTCATGCAGGATCCCAGAAAAGCTTGTTTTCAGGGGTTATGGAAGGAGGCGGAGAGAAGGCCGTACCATCGGGTGCAGCCTCAATTTCAGAAATCGTCCAGTTATAGTTTCGGGTTGCAGGAGTTGAATTAACATCCCAACCATTGCCCAGGACATATTCTAAAGGGTCTCTTCTAAAGGATTTCTCCAAGTGGAATCCAGGGCCCCTGAGGGGTTCGAAAGCCGGAGGGCCACCTAATAGGAAGACGCTCAAGACGAAAGCAAACAAGACTAATCCGAGAGTGTGGGATAGAGCCCTCAAAACATCTGCGAGCCTCGCCAGTCGAGGAGTGCCGGTAGCAGCAACACCGGTCTCCGCTTCAGAAGCTGGGAGCTTTTGGTAAACTGCCATCGCTCTTCGGCTGGATATGGTGGTTGTGGTGATGCAGGGAGCGATACCGGGTCATGTCTGGGGGCTTGTGCTTGAAGATGGAGGTGGGAGAAGACTACGGTACTCGAGTACGGTATTGTAGTGTACAGCACCGTATCTAATCCAAGAACAGGCACGGGCACTGTAAGATGTCTGCATCACTCATCTTACCATCACATGGATGGGCAGGGAAGAAGCGCCCCCTCCCAAGAGATCTACGCCCAGAGCTTGGCCAATCCGATGGCACGGTCCCGTCCACGCGCCCAATAAAAATGCCCCTACCGCTCTCTCCGTGCTCCCAGTAACGGTACGGCACCTTAGATCCTCACAGGGTCCCTGGATAGCCCGGATGCCCGCTCCTCCGTGATTTTTCCATGGCTTGAATTACCTGCCCTCCAGCTATCATACCGTAGTCATTCACCGCCCTTCATAACTTCACACCCTTTTCCCACGGGGCAGGAAGAACAAGAGGATCCGCCCCTCGCACCTCTAACACCCGATGTCCGTGGGAGTAACGATAATAATATTCTTTCTGCCCCGTGTTGGGGAATCGTTAATTAAAAATACCCTCGTCCTGCCTGTCGCCGCCACTCTTTCCCGAGACTTTCTCCCCCTTTTGATTCCCCCGTAAAAGTCCTCGCTCGCACACCGGGGAAATACGGCCACGAGATGCGTTCCCCGAGTTTGTGTTTGCTGGCAGCCATAGCAGCTATGGCTGTCACTGCTAGCGATGTCAAGGGAAGGGTGTTCAACCGATTCGTCACTATTTGGCTCGAGAATACCGATTATGATAAAGCAGCTGGGGATCGTGAGCGAAGCCTGAATCTCTGAAGCTTGGCTTTCGTGCCTGCTGACATGTATTTCTTCCCCAGCAAACCTCTCCTGGCTTGCAAAAAAAGGTGACATTTGCACCAGGTTCAACGCGCGCTCTCAGGGTCGCTAACCCCCTCTGTCGTAGGCATACTCTTGTCAAACTACTTTGCTGTCACTCATCCTAGTGAGCCCAACTATGTCGCCTCGGTCGGTGGGGAATACTTTGGTATGAACAACGATGATATGAACAAACTCCCGGCGAATATTTCAAGCGTGGCCGATCTGTTGGAGGGTAAGGGTATCTCGTGGGGGGAGTATCAAGAGGACATGCCGTACACTGGTTTCACAGGGAATGAATACCGGAATCAGCAGACCCAGGCAAATGCCTATGTTCGCAAACACAAGTGAGCAAACTTGACCCCGACCATTGCTTTCGGCTTGGGGCTAATGAGCGATATCCTAGTCCTCTTGTTATATTCAACTCTGTTGCCGATGTCCCTGAGCGTCTGGCAAATATCAAGAATTTGACCCTGTTCTGGTCGGACTTGGAGGCACAGGATTTGCCGCAGTGGGTAGGCAGGCTGTGGCTTCTCTGAACGGTCTGATGCGGCGCTGACAGAAACCAGATTTTTATCACGCCAAACATGACATCGGGTGGGTCGCTATGCTCATGGCTAGACTACCACTCTCTATTAACATTATTCAGATGGCCATGATACATCTGTTACTGTCGCTGGAGCCTGGACTCGGTCCTTCTTGGAACCACTCCTCGCCAACGACTACTTCATGAAGGTAGGTAGCTTCTCGATGGAGGTCTACCGCCAGTTCCTAACCTTCCCTTTAGGACACTCTAATACTTGTCACCTTTGACGAAAATCACACCTATACACGGCCGAATCGTGTCGTTGGTATCCTTCTCGGAGGTGCCGTGCCCGAGAGCGTCCATGGGACCACGGATAACAACTACTATGGTATGTATTACCATTCTAACCCTGGGCGGCGCGCATCTAACAACCTCAGATCACTACAGTGAAATATCGACGATCGAAGCGAATTGGGATCTCCACACCCTTGGCCGCTACGACGTTGGAGCCAACGTTTTCTCACTCGTTGCAAACAAAACCAAGGATGTTGTCCGCAAGCACTCTAACCTAGACGGTGTCTATCTCAACGAGTCATACCCCGGCATCTTTCACCGTAAGAAGTGGGCTCCACAGCCCGTTCCAAACACATCGCTCAATATCAATGGGCGCTCCGTCCTCCCAAGCGTGGTCAAGACCTGGGGAGGCGATGAAAACCAGAAACAGACAGTATACGGTGGAGACCTCGAGATCCCCAGTGCTGCCAATCGTCCAAAGTAACCCTAACTTTCCCGGCGCACACCGTTGGTACATGATGCTGACGGACCTCTGGCTACGCTTCAAGGGTTAGGAAAAACAGCGAAGGTCAATCGAGCAATTCTTCCTCCAATTCGTCAAGTCCATCAAGCCCGTCCGGCCCACCCAACCCTTCTCCATCCTCGGGCCCTAGCCAGTCTCTGGATTCGAGGCCCTCGGGCGCCATGCGGTACCTGAGCGATATTTCATGCATATGGCTCGTTGTGCTGTTGGTGATGGCGTTTGTGTAACGGGCGCTGCGCAAGAGGCGCGAGGGGCGATGTTGATGTAAGCATAAAGTTTGTGTTGTACGAGTAGATCTAATCGCATACAAGTATCAAACGGGGTGGCTCCTTATTCTCCATGAGGGTTAGGATCGTTGATAAATGATTGTAATTCTGAAGACGGGAATTTAGCCTACGATAGCAGTACTCGAGTGCTCAGTACCGGTAAGTGAAATACGGTAGTCTACCGGTATGCATTAGAACCTGCCAAGCCGCACCACCAAGCAACAAGTCTCCACGCGACTCCATTCTCAACCCAGGCACAGCACTCCCCACCCGCCCGCTCCAGCCGCATACCGTATCCAAGCAGGCAGAGTGGACGCTACCGGTAATTATACCGGCATGAACGTGGTCGTTGCAACGCGGGGAAGTACGCATGCAACCTCGTCATGGCCAAGGTGACAAGCCAAGTCGTCGCTAACACGGGTAACATTGGCATTGCCGGACACTACGAGTACTGTACAGTACTCGTAGCCCCAAGCGCGTAAATAACGTAAACTGACGGATTTAGTGGGTCGAAAATGTGATGTCCGGAAAGGATAGTTTAGCCCTGATCATTTCCCGGCACCTGCATCCCAGCGGAGAATAAGGGGTCGAGGGCGAGTACAAGTTACCATCATATCACACGACAGCCGAGTCCTAACCACAGCACTGCACTGTACTCGAGTAGAGGATCGGACGGTGGAATTGGTGCTCGAGCATGGGGTGTGGAGGGAGATAGTCCTGTGTACGGGTACCTGGGCAAGGGGGCCGGAATACCGGTGCCGGTACATCACACAAATAGGACTCGGCGACTGCAGGTGCGGTGCCGAGTTCCCGGTGCGCCCATGGTACAATACCGGTAATGCATTACTGGTACGATATCATGCCGTATGGTTCGTCGTTGGACTTTCCCTTTCTCTCGCCATTCTGCTGCAGGCGCTGAAGCCCTGAGGGGTTACGTTGCCGTACCGCTATACCAGGAGGATGCCCGCTGATGGGACGGCTATGATACCGGCATCTATCATAGAATGCGCGAGAAATATTGTGGCCGTAGCGCAGCACCCTAACCTACCATACCTTACTGTGCAGGACAGTTGTCTTTAGCATACCTTGATACCGCGCCGGTTCCCGGGGAGTGTGCTTGTTTGCCCCGCCACGGTTGTCCACCACTGACAAAATCTTGAGAGTACTATGTACAGTACCGTACTCGAGTATAGTATCATACTACCCCCTCCCTTAGTTAGTTATTCCCCAAGCTGGTAACCGCACCACTTTTAATGGCGCCATCTGCTGCTTTAGGCGACTGTACTATGGTATTTTTATCGGTGGAGACCGTCTCTGCTTTCTGTGGTGCTTTCTCTCGTACGGGGAGTTCCGGCCATCCATCGAAGCTTTGAAATTTACCGAGTGATACATAGTGATTCAGCAAAAATATTCTTGTCCTATGATAGGGGGTCTATTCCGCTCCGAGTCCCTTGTTTTTTTCTTCTTCTTCTTTCAGTTTTATATTTTACATGTTGGTCTACCCGGGGTTGTCGGAATACCGTATTGCTATCAGAGGCTGGGTATCGGAACAACAGTTGCTTTTTTGTTTCTCGGGTGACTGATAACTGGGGAGTTATGTGCTATCATAGGCTCTTCGAGCGGGTTCGTGGTAAGCGCGTTAGTTACTGTCAAAAAGCTCCCGACTCTTTTAGGTTGGGGAGCTGAACCCTCTCGGCATCACAGTGCTATGTCACGTTTCCAAAAACTGTAGTGGAGTGAAAGTTGGGGAGGGGTGTGTGTGTGTCCGGCGTTCAATATCATACCACCTCGCCGGGTAGGGAGCCCTGCCCTCGAGCGCAGGATAAGTTCACCCACCACCAGCCGCATTCCCAGCTATAGTAACCCAAAGAGCTGCCAATGGACGAACCAGCCCGCCAGGGGTTGAAGAACCGAAAGGGCGCTCCTGAGGTGTCAAAAACCGAAGCTACGGTTACGCTCAGGGCCTGGGTTTAGGTTTAAGAAATAATGGTGCCAGCCCTGGTACGGTACGGGCCCGTGTGGCAGATTGGGGGATACCGTAGGTTAACTCACCCTGAGTCATATGATCACAGGTATGGAGAAAGTAGAGAAGAGAAAATTAAAAATCTTAAGATCAATACAATATTGTCGCCACCAGGCCTTTGGGGGGTTTTGGGGGTCTCAGTTTTCTCGATGAGCTTCTCTTCTTGGTTGTGAGGCTCGCTGGTTGATCGGAGGGTCGGGTAGACTAGAGCTCCCTCCCCATATCATACAAGAATTTCGCCGCCGCTTGCCCATTAGGAAGAACATTCGGATCTATCCATGTCATTGTCGTGAGCTGTGTGCTTACTCGAGTAAATTTATAAGTATGTACAGTACTGTACTGTATCGTATAATGCGCGAGAAATATTGGGGCCGTGGCGCAGCACCGTAACTTATCATACTGTGCAGGACAGTGTTTTTATCATACCTTGATACCGCGCCGGTCCCGGGGAGCGTGCTTGTTTTCCCTGCTAGCCTACCACTTTGACGAAAATCATCTTGGGAGTATCGATGGTACAGTATTAGTCGTACCGTATACCGTACGTATATATAATACGGTACCGGTACTATACAGTGCTACCCATCTCTCGCTATGTTATAACAGGACCGCTTCCACCGTCTTGGCCCGCCGTCAACGGTAGAACCCTCTCTTTCCTTCTTTCCCGTCGTGGAGTGCGGTCCGGGTTGCGGTGAACCCGATTCCATCACTTTTTCATTACCGTACCTTCCTCCCTCTTTCCCTTCTCCGCTGAGTTGTGGGTGGGTGGGTGGGTAAGGAATGATCCGGATTCTCGACCCCCGAGGGAGACTACAGTACCCGTGGCCTGTCTCAAGAGCTACAGTATGATAGGACCAAAGCCGGGGGGGGGTCGAGTGATCACGAAGAGTCACTCGATAGGGATTCGGGAATTCCTGATGAGGGTCGGGACAGCATTTCGTGGAAAGGCCGGATCGCAACTGAGGTACAGCGGAGGGTCGAGCCGACAGAGGGTGAGTGCTGGACGTGTGCGTGTCCTCGAGTACTGTACTGCACCGTCATCACCTCGTTTTCTCTACTCGAGTACTTGCGGGAGGAGAGAGGGTGGCTTCCCATTAGCCTATGATGTTCCTCCCTCCCATGTTTGTGTTTGACATGACATACATCCGTCTAGGGCGCTCTCTTTCCTGCCCTTTCGCCACTGTAACTTACCCCGATATCATCTCTTACTCCAGCTACCGGTAAGCCCTCTCTCCAGTATTCCCCGTTCTCGGCAACTTCAAACCTACCGTAGTCCACTATTGGTCTAGAGCTTGATGTGCTGATTAACTTAGAGACAGCAAGATCTTGAGTAATGCCGGTGCAATTCGGTACAGTACGGTACCGATCCCTGGCACCCGGAGATTCCCCATCACCCTACTCGGTCGCCTTGGGGTGTGAAGAAAAAATATGGAACTCTGTCTGGGTACTGTACGAGTACTGTACCTGGGGCGAGTGATTTGCGATTTTTTTTTTTTTCCAATGGTATTATCATGCTAACGGTGCGGTACTCTGGTAACGCCCGAGTCCGGACGAGGTGTCCTTCATATGATACCGTCAACGCTATTTAGCCCAGACTGCCTACTACCGTATGATACCTTGAGTCCGGGAAGCCCAAGAGATAGCTTCCGTAGACTAGTTGCCAAGGAAAACCTCATTGTCAAAGGGCGAACATCCAATACCGGTATCCAGGTAAACCAAGGTCCTGATCCTGCACGATGGGAAGCAAATCCACCGGCTCGCTTAAACCCCATTCTACCGTACATATGATACCATATTTGTACGAACAAAAACAAAAACAGATTGACCTCCTAGTTTACATACAGTACTAGCACAGCTTATCGTAAGAAGCTCTTCATCATCGCATCCAAGTCCATCAATGATGAAATCCCCCAACCAACTCAACCTACCGTATCCCTTCCTTGGACCCAACCCCTGCGTCATACAAGCTACAATACACCTAGATCTACAGGAAACGTCCCTTGACAAAAAACGGGGAGACAGGGATTCCAGCAAACAAATCTACGTCACAACCCTTCCACACTCGACAACAACCTGTTTCGCGCGATAGTAACGCAACGCAACAAGAACCCATGATGAGAATTGTCATGATGGATATAAGAAATGGACATCCCTTTCCACCCTACGAAATTTACCAAACCCATCACAACTAGAATATCCCACCCCACGACGCTACCACTACCGCTATCCCGAGGATCATACAGAATATAAAAATAAAATAAAAAACCATGGGTTTCACAAGCTGGACCCCGACCCAACACCTCTCGCTGGTAACCCTCCTCTGCCACGAATACGAGGAAGCCCTCTCCTTCTACGCCGGCCTGCTGAACTTCACCATCCACGACGACGCGGAGGTGGAGGACGCGAATGCCGAGGTGGGGAAGCGCTTCATAGTGCTCACGCCGCCCAAACTGACGCAGATGGCGCCCATGGTGGGACTCCGCGTGACGCGCGCCGTCACGAGACAGCAGCGCAAGGCGGTGGGCAACCAGGCGGGCGACGCCGTCTTCCTCTTCTTCGAGGTGGACAACTTCGACGAGGCCTACGGCAAGATGAAGGCCGTCGGCGTCAGGTTCCTGGAGGAGAGGCCGCGGGAGGAGAAGTTTGGCAGGGCCATACTGTTCCAGGACCCGTACGGGAATAGGATCAATCTGGTCGATAGGCCCACCCAGAGGACTGGGAGTTTGTACGCTAAGGATACTAGCGTGTAGGTTTGTGCTTCTGCTTCTTTTCCTTTTGTGGTGGTGGTTTGTCTGGGTGTGTGGGACCGTTGCTGACGTTTCTCAGGGGGGGTTGGATGGGAGAGGGATGATTGATGGATGGAGTTTTGTCCATGCGCATTTGGTGGGCTTTGCCCTGTTTTTTTTTTCTTTTCTTTATTTGTAAAAAAAAGAAGGTTGATCGTTTTGGAGGAAATTTTGGCTCTTGGACGTTGTAGTTCGGGGTTTGGCTTCCGCTGGGTGGGTATGATATCATAATATTATGATACTTTAATAGGGACTAGTTTGAGGGATAGATAATCTATTGGGAAATCTACTATTAATACCACCCTCTATTCCTTGCATTTTGGGGGGACGATTGTGGATGGGGAAAATGATTATGGGTGAATCAAGCAACCTTTAGATGCAGTGATGACCCAGGGAATCACCCGTCAAGCCCTCCCCTCCTCTAGCCAACTAAATAATATCATACCCATATCATACTAGTACAGTACTCTACCCCCCCAATCCAATTCAATCATAAATCACCAATCGTCATCCGGTTCCCCGGGGTCACGCCGCCCCCCACGAGCGCGAATCTGTTCCATAACACTCGCCGGAATGGCCCGGGGCGCGAGAGCCCCGGGTTTGCTTTGTGCATGCCTAACCACGTCCCTCAGAATCGCCTTTTGGAGGTTCGGGTTCCAATCTTCGGGAACGCCCCGATTGAGGATGCCGAGGTCCACGTCGTCCCTGGAGAGCAACAGCAGTACAATCTCCGGGCAAGGGGGCATGCTTCCGGCGGCCAGACTCAGCGGCGGCTCGTCCATGCAGCAGAGGTTAACGTCGACCCTGGGATCGTCGACGAGCATTCTCACAATCCCCGGCTGGTAGGAGTGGATAGCGGCATGCAACGGGGCATCGCCGCCGTATCTGAAGTTGACGTCCACCGTCTCATCGGCGAGCAGTATCCTCATCACCTCCGGCCAGCCGTGCCAGGCGGCGAGGTTCATGGGTATATCCGGGGGCTCGGGGCCCAGCGACCTATCCACGCGATCGTCCTTCAGCAGCAGGTAAATGGACCAGCGCTTCGCGTGGAGGACCGCGGTCATGTAGGCCGTGGCGCCCGCTTGATTCCGGGCGTTGACGTCGAGTCGCGGGTCGGCGAGGAGGAGGCTGAGCACGTCCTTGCATCCGTACTGCACGGCCCAGTGCAGCCAGGTATCCTCCCCGGGCGGGGGGATCTCAACCCTGGGATCCCGAGTAATCGCAGCCACGACATCCGTCAGGCAAAGACTCATGGCGAGTTGCAGCGGCGCCAAGCGCGTTCCCCGCCCGGGAGTGTTGATATCGACCCTGGGATCAGCGAGGAGCATCATCACCACCTCCCTCTGCGAACACTGGATGGCGGTGCACAGGGCCGTCGTGTGCCAGCCATTCAGCGCATTAACATCGACCCCCTCCCCACGCGCGAGCAAGCCCTCAACCACCCCGACGCACCCATGCTCCGCCGCAAGCATGAGCAGCGTGCGGTTGAACAAGCAGCAGATCCCCGGATCCAAGCCCGCATCTAGCAGCGTTAGCACGGCGGCTTCGTTCCGCACGCTCAGCATGTCCACGAGTACGTCCGTCCCCGCCATCTCCAGTACGCGCCGGTCCAGCAGCCACGCCACCGTGCGCGTGTCCCCGCGCTCGCCAAAGTGGTAGAGGGCTCGCTTGGCGTACTCGTGGGAGCCTATGCGGATGAGGTTCCCCAGAAGGGCAGGGCGGAGGAGGGTTGCCAAGCGCCGGTTCGCGCGCAGGAGGGCGCCCACCTCGGGTAGGGATTGCTCGGTGGATATTTGGAGGAGGAGTTCGTTTGGGAGGCTGAGGAGAGTCATGGCGGGGTTCTCTCTCTTCCTGTTCTCGTGTAACTTAGATCGGGGTGGTGGGTTGGCGGTGAGTGGCGGGTGCTGGGTGCTGGAAGTGGTGGAGTGCTGTGAGGGGCTGCTCCGGTGAGGTGTTGAGAGGGGCCTTCTTCCTCAATGATGGCTACCTATAGCCTGTAGCACCCGGGCACAAAGGGGTCTATAAGTATGGGACGGAGAAATATCATCGGACACGTAGGTACCGGTGAAGCACCCGTGGGCCGTCTACCGGTACGCGTACCTGCCCGCGCGTCAGTCTGCCGCACTGTGCTCTATTATCGGTATCTGCTGCTATCCGCCAAGACCGAGAGTTGCTCATTCGTAAGGTTGGATAGCGCCCACTCGTAGTGCGTAACCTCGGCCCCTCTAACGGGGGAACTCAGCTGGTGGAGCTACGGGGAACACCCCCCCAAAAAAAAGATGAGATGATTTAATACGGTAGTTGAGGGAGGCTCTCGGCGGAGCCATCTACTCGTACTGTGCGGTACGAGTACAAGTATCATACCCTTGCCCATCTCCGCCAGCATTGCTCCCGACTGAGTGAGTACTCGAGTACACATGCCTCTGGCAGATGCCGTGCCGGTGCACTACTCCCAGGCTGTCCTCGGCGGTGTCTTGCGACGACTTTTTGCACTCTGGCCCGGAATCACTCGTAGAATCATGGTGCACACGGACACGGCGTCGTAACACTTCACCTCCTTGGCGGAAGGTATGATATCACGGGTCGTGTTTCCACACTATCGTACGGGGCTTACGCAATGCGTAGTCCGGTAGGGCGGTAAACCCCCTCCCAGTGCTGGACACGCTGAAGACTCACCGGTGCTCACTCGACCGGGCGGGCGTCTGGCCTGTTGAATATGCACTGATGACTACGCATCAGAGCTATGGACTTCTGTATACACGCACGGCTGCTCACATACTCGGGCTGTTTAGCGTTGCTGGTTTCTTCTTTGAATTTGTTCTTCTCCCCTCCCTTATTTTCCTTCCGGAGAGTTCGTTTGGTTACGGCTTCCTCGATGTCCGCCCATTTTATGTAGAAATTGCCATATGAGAAGGCACACATACATACCCCCCGACACTGCAGCGGGGTGAAGCCGGTACCCACTTTCCGTAGAGCACACGAGCACGCCGAGGCCGCAGGAACGGAGTGGCTCATGCAATACCTTCTCCGAGCATCGAATATCGGAATTTGGAGCATCTTCTGCCCGAGCGTATCCGATGACTAAACCTACCTCACGCCGGGCTGAAGCGGGCACCCGGTATAGGGGGTATCCTGCGACGATTTTGATCCGGGCGTTCACCGGGTATCACTCGAGTGACGTTTCCAGCCGCGAGGGGATACATAATCCCACCCCCTGCATGGCCCGAACGTTAGGGTGAGCACCGTTACTGTGCTAGTATGATACGAGTGCCGGTGGATTTCCCAAACCAAACCTAGGCAGTCTCCTCCAGATCGCGATCCCTTACCATAGCCAGGCCAATTCATATGATATCCCCCCAGGCGCATCTGTAAAATCCACCACCAGCTAGAGCCTTCAGAACACCTTCTGGAGGCCCACAAGCCTCGCCACCTCCATTCAAAACGGAGACCTTAAATTCAAAGAGACAAGTTCTCCAACCCCCCGCCCCCCCCCCCCCTCCCGCGAACCACCGCGGTTGGTTAGCTAGTCAGTTAGCTCGCACCGGGGGAGGAGGGAAAAAAGGGTACCCTACAGTATGATACCATGAAAGAATTATTATCGAGATTTTTTTTTTTATTCGAACCCGAGTGTCTCTTTCTCACCGACTTAGCCACCAGAGCAACGCATTGGCACGAGCACAAAATAGGGCTTGCTCTGGCATTTCCACCGTATCGTATCATTATCACGTGATATATATACACTCGGGTGCGTCCGTTCTACGGATGTATCGTTGATACATGACCTCGTAATATCGCCCGGCGGGGGGGGGGGGGGGGGGGCACGATGCTGCGTGTCGAAGGTGGTCTCATACTGGCGCTCATTGTTGTTGTGGTGTCGGGTGTGCTTGCGGGAGCGGGTTAGGATCGAGGGGGGCTATTATTGAGGAGAGGAAGCGGCGATTTGGGGGGTTTGCTCCTTTGTTTTTCGTTTTTTTGGGGGGGAGGGCGATGGGAATGGGAGGGAATTGGGGAATTGATACCAGGTGTTATCCGCTTTGGCGTTTCCGGCTTTCTTCGTCTGTCATGTGTGACGGCTGGCTATCCATAGCTTGCACAATAGAATACAATATCATCAAAGCACCCACTCGTTGACCATCAAGGCCAAGTCTCCTGTGCCTTCCATTCACCGTCTTCGATCCAATACACCCACCTGCGCGCCTTTGCATCGTCCTCTTTCAGGTCCAACCGCTCAACAACCTCAGGAACCACGACCCCAACCCTGAAATTCCTCCTGGCTACCGCCGCGATCCCATCCTCGTTCATGACATCATCGTTCTGGATATTAGCACCCTTGACCGCCCCTCCATTATCTCCCAGCGAAACCGGGGTTCCGGGCGGAGGGTTAGCAAAACTGCCCCGAAGCGCGGGGGTCAAGTTCGCAAAGTGCATTTGCACCTCTTTCTTCCACGTCCACTTCTTCTCCTCGCCCTCCGAAGGAGTGCCAGTATCCCGCGGGACGAGATATCGCGCGAGCACGTCCGTGATGGCCCGAGCCTCATCCACGTCCTCCTCGGCGAGGAGGTACGTTCGCCCGCGCATGCGCCATTGGTTCTGTGCCGACTCGAACCAGAACATGGCTTCGACGTACCCCCCCACCCAAGTGCTCGTGGATTCCCCGGGCCTGGAGGTGGACAGGAGTTCCGAGGTTTTTGTCATGCGCGAGTCTGTGGTGAAGGTTGGCAGGTGGGAGGTGTAGAGTGGTGGGTTGTGGTTTGAGAGTGGGCTTTGAGGGTTTGGCGGGAGAGAGGCCAGGAGGCCGCGGTAGACCATTGTTCGGCAGCGAGGGGTTGGAGGGTGCGAGGGGGGCAGAGGGGTCTGAGGGTCGTGGAAAGGATTGAGGGATGGATGGCTGGGAGGCACGGTGGTTGTCGTTGCGAGGGTGAAGGTGGGAGGTTTGAGAGTTTCGATGTGTGCTAGGAAGAGGGGCTTCCAGGGGGGGTTGGACATCTTGGGCTTGAGGCGGAGCGTGATGGTAGCTTGGGAGCGGGGGTGAAAGGTAGTGATTTGGTGTTTGCGGTTGGTTATCCTGTGGTGATTATGGGTTTCTGGTGGTGGGGGTGAGTGGGCGGATGGCGACGTAATCTGCTACTGGTCGCTAGGTGTTTAGGTCGCCCAGCCTCAACCCTTCAAGTTGCTCGACCACATCTCAACACAAGAACCCATTTCAAAACACAATTGATCACTCAACCCACGCAAATACATGGATCCTCGGCGGCAGTGAAAAAAGGCACATTCGATCAACACCAATTATGTATTAACAAGGACACAGACATCAGTAACCTATACATCTTCTGGCCCATCCAGTAATCCTATCCAGCCTGTTGCAAAGCCCACATTATCATAACCCCGCCAAAAGTAAAGATCGACTTGCGCTAACGTGAGAATTACCGTACAAATAGAAGGCAAAAAAAAAAAAAGAGAGGAGAAAGTATCGAACCCCCAATGCTAATACAAATCTATCACGAACATCTAAAACTGGAAAGCAATGACCAAGACAGCACCAAGAGCCGCGGCGAACGTAGCCGGGAAAAGACCCGACGCAGCTCCCGGCGAGACAATGATGTTGGTCGGGGCGGTTCCATTCTTGGGTACACCAGCGATTGTGCTCACGGGGACAGGCGAAGTGACGAGCGTGGTGGGACCAGCAGTGACATTGGTGGTAGAGCCAGGTCCAGCGGGGGGTTGAGTTGTCGGCACGGTAGCAGGAGCAGTCGGGTAGACCAAGGTGGCATCGGTGGCCGTGACGATAAGCTTAACGAGGGGAATTGTGACGGTAAGAGTCTTGGTGGAAGTGGAGGAGGAAACAACCGATCCGGGGGAAGATCCGGTGGTGATAGTAGTAACCGGGCAAGGGACAACGGTGGCGATGGTCTGAACAATGGTGGTGACGGGGACGTTGGGCGGTGGGGGAGAGAGTGTGATGGTTGGTGGCAGACAAGTGGCGATGGCAGGGTTCTGAGGGATGTACGGCTGGCAGATACCCAAGAAATATTCGAGAGACTTGCTGACATCGGCGTCGTCCTTGCCCCATGACTGAACACACTCGGAGATCTTGACGACGAACTCTGCATGCGGGCAGAAGCAGGCGGCATTAGCGGTATCGTCGCAGTTGGTAATGAATAACCAAGTCTTGAGGCAGCGGGGGAGAGTTGGTGGGCACTCGGTTGGTGGGAGAGGGGCTGCAGAGGTGGTAGCGGCTGGCGGTGGGGAAGAGACTGCTACGGAACCCTTGAGCGTGGAACTCCCCGGAGTAGGAACTCCGTATCCGGAGCTCACACCCGGAGCAGTGGTAGATGCAGATCCTGAAGGAGTAGTGCTGTTCTTGCCGGGAGGAACGACGACAGTGCTATATGGGCAGTCCTTCCCACCCATTCCAGGGACGCAGCTTGAATATTCCTTAGGAGAAGATGTGGTAGTGCCAGGGCAGTTATATCCAATGCAAGGAACCGAGGTCGATCCAGGAGGAACGGCGATGGTGCTGGATGGGCAGTCCTTTCCTCCCATACCGGGGACGCAGCTTGACGGAGCTCCGGGGGCGGATGTGGTTGTGCCCGGGCAGTTCTTTCCATCACAGGGAGGGCAGTCCTTATCCTTGCCAGGAACGCAAGCACTGGTGGTATATGTAGCTGGAGCAGAGGTAGTGCTGCTTGGGCAGTTCTTTCCATAGCAGGGAGGGCAGTCCTTGTCTTTGCCAGGAACGCAAGCACTGGTGGTATATGTAGCTGGAGCAGAGGTAGTGCTGCTTGGGCAGTTCTTTCCATCGCAGGGAGGGCAGTCCTTATCCTTACCAGGAACGCAAGAACTGGTGGTGTATGTAGCCGGAGCAGAGGTAGTGCTGCTTGGGCAATTCTTTCCACTGCAAGGACAGTCCTTGCCATTTCCGGGAGTGCAGACGGACGAAGTGGTGGTTGGGCAAGGCTTTCCATCGCAGCAGTTGGGCCCACCGCATGATGGGATGGTGGTAGTAGGGACGGGAACGCTGGTCGTAGCGGTATTACATTCGAACTTGACCTTGTGGAAACCGAGATTGCAGGAATCCCTGTTGGAGTTCTTGGGGAGCTTGACCTTCACAGTCTTTGCACCACCACACTGGCCGTTCTTGACAGTGTTACCGTCCTTGTTGCACTTGCTCACCGTTTTACAGGTGGAGCCATCGGGCATGCCGTAGTGAAATTCAACCTCGGTATCCTCATCAACCGAAACATCGATCTCACCGATGGAGAAAGACTTGTCGCAGCTAATCTCATTGCTAAAGTCGTCCTTCTTAACATTGGCCTCAATACATTTACTCTGTAGAATTTGTTAGCTTCGCACCTTTTATGCATGTTAGGAGTGGGCAGTCTTTACGTTAAATGTTCTACCCTCAAGGCTGCGTTTGCTCTTCTTTGTTGTGCAGGACCAACCCTTGAAGCTGTAACCTTTGTAATTGCTGAATGAACCCGCTGGCAAGTCGCCCCAATCGAAGCCGTCACTTTCGTCCTTTGTACAATCGTTTTTAATATTTGTTGGGCAAGAGTAGGGGTCTTCTTCACGCCAGCCCTGAATGTTAAATATATCAGTTATCAATTCAACTCTCCATCGCCACCATGTTACAGAGCTTACCGTCGCAGCTACACCCTGTAGGGCGATGAGCCCAAAGATAGTGAACACGCTTCCGGCTCGCATTATGATTTATAAGTAAGGATCGGTCTCTGAAGACGAGTGAGTATCAGTGAACAATGATTGAATCTGGGAAAATATAAAAAAATTCGAAATATCTGTATGACAGTGAGTGGACTGAGCGAGTGATAGTGGCTGGCACTTTTAAAGAGGGACCAAAACGAAACAGAAAGAAGGTGGTGGGAAAGAGGAAAAAACGAATGGCACTGCCTTGGACCAAGGAGTTACGATTGTAGAGATCGAAGAAACGACTGGAGGGCCAAGTATGGCAGTGGGAGGGGGGGTGATTTTATACGTCACGACTCTTCAACCACTACCAGCTTGGTTGGGAGTGTGATGGTGCGGTCCTATTTCCATCCAACCAAATAACTCCGAGACAATCCTGGTTAAAAAAAAAAATCCATAAGGGAGGGAGGGAGCCATAGTGAACCTTCAGGTGCTACAAGAATAATACCGGTATGTGGGTGGATAGGTCAGCTTTTCTTTCTTGTCCGCCTTCCTTCCTAACCATGTCCGTCCGGGCGTTTCGAGGGGAGTTAACGGCATCCGACTGACGGTCTTGCATTGGGGGGGAGCCTGTCAATTCGCTCTCGGCCAGTTGATGCCGATGTTTCAAGTGATGCGAGCAGTTGGGTTGGGCTGACTGAGCCTTCTGTACCTGCATCTGGTGGCCACCCACCGTACCAAACCAACATTACAAGTACAAGTACCAAGCCAGGCACCATGCTTGCAGACAAGAATAGCCTATGATATTGGGAGGGAGGGAAGGTTCTCGCTTGTGCTCGTTGAGGTAGCCTTAGCGCTATCAGGTTACCTTTTGGGAATGTTCCAGGGGTAAGCTGCAACACATTCCTCTTGATTGAGTAATCCGTGGGCGGGGAATGTCCTTGTCGGGCAGTGTGGGTTCTCCAGCCCAGAAAGAAAGGCCATCAACAACCTAACACAGCGCGGCATCACGGCCAAAAGCAGCACCTTCCACACTCCTCGCGGGTAAAGTGAAAAAAACACCAGCGCTGGATCGGAGGAAGAAGTTCAGCAATACTTGATCGATGCTACTGCAGGTACCGGTTTGCGCGAGTCAGCTCTCTTCGTTCCCACCGCTCCCAGTCCCCCCTATCCAATGATTCCCGCAACGGTAGCCCCAGATCAATTGTACTACCGGTACTCTACCGGTAGTACACGTGTATGCTCAGCTCGAGGATCACCGGGACTTCCGATTTTGACAGGTGCGAGTACCCGTAACGGGGACACAGTCTCCTTCCGGTAATCGTCTCTTTGCTTCGCCTCAATCACCGTGCACATCTCCCCGCTGCCGTATCTTATAGTGGGGAATAGAGTGCAGCCCCCAAGTTACGAGTACTCGAGCACAGTAGCACCGGTGTTTGCCGACATCCAACCCACAACAGAATTTGTGGAAGTTCCCTCCTCTCTGCAGGCGAGATAAAGTGGGTCTGATTGTACGAGTACTATACTCGAGCACAAAGTCATAATTCGTGAGGTATATACGGGTACAGTGCTTAGTACGAGTACTATTACCCTTGCATACCGCCCTCCCTGGTACCCACCAGGAGCAACATTTTACGCGGAAGAAAAGGGAAATGAGTATTATGCGGATAAGATAAGACCTCCAAGGCCTGACCCTTACGAAACCCACCCCAAGTGAAGAATGAAATCCACTACCTGTACTGGTAATAACTCCCGCTCGGCCATTAGCATATTCGAGCACTGGTACTTGTACCGGTATTCCCCTTGCTCCATCAGGTTCCGGGACTTTGGGAGCCTTAGACAATATCGCAAGGTTCAGTTGGGTATGATGCTGATCTATTTTTATAAGCTTTACACGCTCACAACCGATTGAGAACAGGGACAGCGACTGCTTCAAGAATTCGCGAGTGTGCTTGGGCATCGCGTATTGAGAACGCGGGAATGCTCAAGCTTTCGAGTGGCGTGAAATAATGGTGTCTCCGAGAACTGAGGCCTGCTTACCTGGGGTTTCGGGCCCTCCATCCGGGGGTTGGAGCGGTTATAAACAAGTATACTCTACCTAATTTACATGCAGACTTTTATCCAGCAGTTACGAGAAAAGAGAGAAGGGCAACAAAAACTACCTTCTGAACCCTCTATGAATACAGGATTCAGACACGGCCTTGAAGTGCATTGAAGTGGCCCCTAAGGACTGCCCCAGGCCAGGAGCACCCGAAAACAGGGGGGCATATTTTGTATTGGCGCTCGGATACACGCAGATTTTTACCATATACCTTCACCCCTGTTTTCGGGCACTTGTACCGTACCGGTACCGGTTCAGTGCTTCTACTTGTAGCTTAGGACAAGTGATATCTGGACCCTGGAAGTGATACGGAATCGGCTATGGAATCCAGGCCACCTGACCGATCCCGGGTTAGTGGCGCAACAACACTGTTGAATGGTGCTCTACTAGTACAAGTACTACTACCGCACTCGTCCTGGGCTATAGTCACTGTACGGGTACTGTACGAGTACCCAAGTACTCGAGTATCCGGGAACGGGGATTAAGGATATATAATGTGAAATGTCTATTCGTAAAAAACCCCAAATGCGAAATATACCCCCGGTTTTCGGGTACTGGTATTTATGACCTCGGACAAGTAGGATTTCTAGCGATGCATATGCACCATGAGTACCTTATTCCTCTCCGGACCGAAAAACCCGCCAATTGCCCCGAAAATATCACCGGTCAGTTGGTCGAGGAGACGTCCCGTTCTAGTCCTCCATTGTACTCGTACCAGAGATCTCCTCGTAAAGGAAATTGATAACAGTCTTGACCAGGGAAGGGACAACTTAGGAAGACTTCTTCCGGTTTGTTTTTGGCGCCCACATTCCACGGAATTGGGGCTAGAGTGTTAAGGCAAGTTACCTATGGCACCCCCCACCCGACTATAATACGAGGGCCATTCCGGGTCTCTACATCTTACTACCGGACAAATGGAGACACGAATATTATGGCCACAGATAGCAATCACGGAACGAGGTCCGTGAGGCCAGTGCATAAATGTGTGCTGGGCTACTTCGACCGCCGATTTATACACTCCGTCAACCCTACATTCTTCTAGTAGAGATTGATGTTGGTGAACCCATATTGTGGTTTGTGTGCGCTGTACTAGTAGCATAGGCCACCGGTATCGGTATCATTCACCAGTAATCCTACTTGTACCAATGAAGGGCAGGCTCCCTCTCAACAGGCAAGATTGGCAAAATTCCTTGCTTTCTATGCACAACCGTGCGGTTGGTACCATAGGAGTGACCACAACACACCACGGTACCGGCATGCCGTGGTAAAACTTCGCACGGGAATTCGTGATCCCCCGAATTAGATTTACTGCCGTGCAACAGTACCGGTATGACAACCTAACACGGCTTGCACTGTACGAGGACAAGTGCGGGATAGACAGACACTCCCGAGTACCCGTACATGTAGAGTACTCGTACTGTACCCGAGTACTTGCACAAGCGAGAGAAAATGTCTTCAAAGACGGGGACCACCGTGATACGGGAGCGGGTGAATGCAGCCCCCATAGGGGCGTAGATGTTACCTCTAGAGGTGAGGTTGTGTCATGAACCCTCTTTGGCTTTTCCCGCCGTGCGCGAATATATGCTCTGCAAGTTACCGCCAGTTAATGTGCCTGGGGGGGGGGGGGGGTGAGCGGGGGGAAGATCCCAGTGTCCTAGGCAAATGCACTACAGTTTCCTGAACTTTGTACGGGCCTCCACCCCTCCTCGAGGAACGTTACTCGAGCTCTGTAGCCATTATTCTCAGGACTATCCTGAGTGCAGTTTTCACAGCCCCCATGCCTTTTCCAGAAGGGAGCAGACATATATTAACTCCCCACCGCTATAGAGAATAAAAAGAACAAAATAGGAGAACAGTGCGAGGCTTCGGAGCCCTGTACGGGCTCTCCTGGCGATGACCCGTACGGGTGCGTAGTGCAATCAACCCATCATGATACAGTGGAAGCAGACGAGGAAAGACAAATCCACCAGGAGCGAGCGAGCGAGGGACCCAAAATCTGTCAACACAACCAACCCCCTACCAGCCCGTTTCTTACAGTGCCGTAGCTGCGGTGCTACCGGACACCCCTTACTGCCTTCCTCGGAAGGTTTCCTGTGGCACGTATTCTTCCCGAACACCCCTTCTGGAGCTGATACATCCGAGCACCTTCAATAAAAGAATCTGTGTGAACAAACCCGCCTCTGAGAGCTTTTCTTAGGCCTTTTCGAGCCTGATGGCGATGGTATAGACCTGGGGATATGTTAGGACCTAGATTAGGCCAACCACTGCGTCTATAATATGGTAGTGTCCCTACTACTGGCACAGCATCCTAAGTTGCATCTTGTCATTCCTTCTTCCCCCCTATTTTTCTATTCTTTTCTTCGTGAACTTCCATGTATTGCGGATGCGTACCACACGGTTCAAACTTGCCGTGGTATGGTACTCGTTACCGCACTCGATTGGTATGTTAGTTTGGCGATTGAGGTCAGTTGTCTTGTCTAACTGTCCCTGGCTTTAAGCGTGCCGCACTGCATGCCGGTAGTGCTTGTATCATAATACCGTTTCCCTCTCTGCTCTGCTCGCGCGTGGCACAGTCATGTTATGTCCCCTCAGATGCACATTCCAATGGAGAATTCTTACGGCCCATACTCATCGAATTTGGCAATGGGGCGGGTCGAATGTTCTAGTGTGATGCTTACCACAGCACAGTAGTACCCCCTTAAACTGCTGTGGTGTACCGCCGGTATGCCAGCGCGCGGAATGCATGACCAGTGGTTGAATTGAGAAGAGGACCAATCTTCTTGGCAATGAATTATGAACGAATTTATTAACGGAGGGTCCTACTCTAACTCAATTAGATTTGCTACCGGACTACTCGAGTATATTCCCAGATCGTAGACTATCTAAACTTTCATCTGGGTCCCCCTCCCCTCCCCTCTCCCCCCCGCGCTATGGACTGGATCATTCTGGACTGGTAGCGACGGATGCTATCATTAAATTCTCATACCGGTAAACACACCATGAAGCTTGGAACATCCCGTATCTGTACTGTACGAGTACAACTTCAAAGGTAGATGAGGGGTTGCAAAAAAAAAAATCCATCCCCCCTTTATCATACCGGTACTTCACAGTAAGCCCAATAATAATCTACTCATTCATTCATAAATAAATTGATGATTTGCTCGCTACCCAAACTCCCGGACATCACTGCGACAAACCGCCAACTTAAAGCATCATACTAATTCAGAAGTTTTTCGCTTGGCCAGTGTCCCTGCACTAAATCCGGTCAATAATGGTCATTTTGGCGCTCATTCACCTAGAAGCACGAAAGATTGCGACTATCATCCGCAACTACATGAACCAGTGTAAAAGTGACTTTAGACTCTGACTTGGGCTCCACGCAAAATGGAGCAGTACTGTGCCCGGGAACTAGATATCTCCAGCTTAGCTCATATTTTTCTCCACGGCATTACAATTTGATGGATG